TCCAGTTGGATTTGTGGGGGGCATTCTTATGAGCTCCAGGTCTTCAGCTGGACTCATGCAGCACATTTCTGTGGTATCCAGGCCCTCTGCTGGATTCCTGGTCTATAGTGTGTGGACAGATTTCCTGTAGTCCTTTGTATATTGTTCTTTGGGTGACTATTATAAATAATCTTATAAAATATGTGTCCTGTATTATTTTATTCTGCCTTGCGAAATCACCCTAAACCAAAACATAGCTACTGAGAAAGATAAAAGGAGCAGATTGATGCTCTTTATTAATTACTAAATTATATCTCTTTTATGTGTAGGAGGTAAGATGAATCAGAAACCTGAGCTCACTGCTCAGCCTCTTTAAAATTATCACCCCACTTTTATCAAGATTCTAGGTAGAATGTAAGCATAGACTTGATGTCTTTAAAAGTGCTGGACTTGTGTAGCTGTCTGGACATCGGCTACTGGATTTTGGGATGATTGTGTCCTCCCTTGCAGATATTTGCCTTTACTATTGTACACGGTCCGATGCCCACTCACTGAATCAGAAAGTGGTGGGCAGGAGAGGGGTGCAGCCAGGCAGAGCATGGGGGGGGGCGCAGTTCCCTATTACCTCGTTTCTGGCCTTGCTGCAGTCCCCCCACAAATGTGGTCCCCAGCCCAGGAGCAATGGTGCCACCTGAGAATTTGTTGTAAGTGGAAACCATGAGGCCTCCTGCCCTGGCCCTGCTGGCCTGTCCTTCGGTGGGGTCAGCCACTCTCCACCGGGCTGAGGCTGCCAGGGATCGGTCCCTCGGGTCCTGGGGGCAGTGGTCCTCCTTAGCTGGTGACCGGGTCCACGCGGCCAGTAGGTTTGGAGGTGGACTTCAGCGCTGCCTGCATGCACATTGGGCACTTGAGTGTAAGTTAGCGATGCATCACATCCATCATTCTAAAGCAAATACGCTCTGCACATTTGAATCTCTGAAATGAAAGTGTAATTAAAGTTCTCAAGTTTCTCATTAAAATAGACACATTTTAGGGCAATATGTTTATGTTCCAGATGTTAGAGACCTACGGGGCCTAGAGAAGTGTGAAAGTTACTCTTCCGGGGGAGCTTCCCTGTGGGGAAGAAAAAAGGCATCACTTTGAGCTCATGTGGCCTGCTGTGTGCTCAGCAGGGAGTGGGATCTGGCTGCAGGAACAAACCCCTTCCCCTCTGAACACCGTGATTCTAGTGGAGGGTGACACAGATTCTGCCGCTCGAGATCACTGTACCAACACAGTGTCATGAAAAGGCAGTGCCTCTTCTGCTTACACAGGGAGTCCTAACTCTTCTAGATTAATTAATCTAAGTTATGTGGAACTCCATAACCAGGGTCTTATGACTTCCTGAAAAGAAATTACATTTTCAATTTTTAACATTCTCATATACTTGTACAAATTAGACATTAGATCTAGAAATATTTAAAAATATATTATAAAAATATGCTTCCGTTAGAAAATGAACACAGACTATTTGTAACTTGCATGTACTTAGTTACACTTAGGAAATAAACTGCTAATATAAACTGAACTATATCTACTGTACTTCTGAGCGTCCACCTGTCGCTCAGCCAGGAAAGCCGCTGTGCCGAAGTGTCCTGCCGCACCTCATGCTGTTGCCGGCCGGGAAGGCCGTGGTACCCGTGGGCCTCTGCTACACGCTGCCCTGAGTTGGCTCTGACAGGCAGAATCACCCGATGCTTACGTCCATTCTTGAAGGCTCCGTCTCCTCCATGGCTTCTGAAACGTGGATGTGTGTGAGCGCGTGCGTGTGCTAGAAGAGTCCCAGTCGTGAGCAAACGTGCTTGTCGTTTGTGTGCAGGGCGGCGGGTCGGGCAGTCAGTTTACAGGAGAAGAAACGGTGTGCTCTTCTCCTTTGATTTCCTCGTGCTCCTGGCTTGAGTGCTGGTGGCCGCAGCACGCGCGCCTGTGCTCGGGGAGGCTTCGGGGGCCGCAGGACTCCCACTGTCACTGTTGGACGACGCTCCCGCCTGGCTCCTACAGGCGGTGGGCTCCTCGCCAGAGGAGGCTGCTGGTACTTGCGAGAGGGGGCAGAGGCAGGGCCCGGGCAGGCCGAGCTTGTCCTCCTCTCCCCGACAGCAGGGGCGGAGCCCCGCGTCCCACAGCCAGGCCCACCTGTGCTTGCGCCTGCTGGACAGGGCGGCGGGAAGCAAGGCTGCTGGCCGCCTGAGGACGGCGCACGGTGCTCCCACCACCAGAAGCAGCTCACCAGCGATCGCTTCCTAATCAGACTGCAGCGAGCAGCGCACATCCCAGCGCAGGAGCGGGGTCGAAACCGTCACCTCCCGGAGCGATAAGTTGGGCATCACGCACTCGGCAGCACAGTCCAGTTTGCTAGCCGGTTCTAACCGGGTGGAGCGAGTGGGGTCTGCAGGCCGCGTGTGGCCTTTAGGCGCCGGGCGGAGCTGCCTGCACCAGCGCCAGCCCGCTCCTCACAGCTCGCGAGGGACCTGCTCTGCCCAGCAGAGCCCTTTCTCACTGTCACCAAAGCCGGTCCCTGCCCGCCCGTTATTCGGGGCTCCTGCGCCCGCAGACGGCTGAGCCGGCAGCTGGACCTGAAAGCAAGTCTGTGTTACTCAGGCGCCCTTTGCTTGGCCCGTGTCCCGTGCTCAGGCTCAGCTCAAGCTTTCCTTTCTCCTGACGCTTCAATCCCCCTGCCATCGCGGCCTTGCCTTGCTTCGCTTCATGGGCTAGGGAAGGCCAGCAGGGCCACAGAGGAGAGAGGAGGAAAGACGCTGCCTGGAGAGAGGCGGGCGCACCTGGAGAGGTGAAGAGGGAGGGAAGCGGGGTCTCCACGCAGGGAGCGCAGAGAGCCAGCGCCCCCGCTGCCCCCGCAGATCCTGCAGTCGGAAGCCAGGCGTTCATCTCTCCCCTCTCTCTTGTTCAACTGCATTTTCTGTTTAAATTATGTATGAGGAGTTTAATGAGTGAATACCGCATGAAGGCACCAAGCTCAGTCTTCCTGTCTCCCACTTTCTCTAGCAAAAGTGAGAGCTCTGGGATTTAGTCACTATGTGCAATTAAAGTTCAAACGTGAAACATGCACATTTCAAACAGGTCATTTCATAGGAGCTAAAACTCCATTTTGGGGCTGGGGACGTAGCTCCGTGGTGCAGCGCTGGCCTAGCACACACGAGGGCTGGGTTCAGCACCCAATACTGCAAAGTGAAAAACATCCACTCTGACTGGTGAACAAACACTGCCAGTGTGCCGGGCTAGCAGGGGGGCAGACCACAGTGCCCTGCGGGTCAGGCCTGATTTGTCCGTCTTTTCTGATTTGTCTGGTTACCTGGTTACTGTTCAGCCTAGCAATATGTTACTCACATTAGAGCTCAGACAGGGAGTGGTAAGAAGTAGTGTGAGGAGCATTCCTGGAAATCTGACATTTTTACCCCTCACTTCATTCTTAAGTGACTTCTGGTCCCTAATACTCACTGAAAGGAGCCAGGACCTCCACAGGAGATCAGTCATCTCTTGGCTACTTTTCAAAACAGCAGAGGAGCCCAAAAGTCTGGATATGAAACATCACTAAGTTCACAGACCTCAGGCTGCAGCCCCGATGGCTCACCGACCAGGGCAGAAGAACTTGGAACGAGGCTGGGGTCCTCCGCCTTCGCACCAGCACAAACACACTCTGGGGGATGGAGCCTACTTTATACAAATTCAACGAGACCAACTGCACTGGGAACACAGCTCAGAAAAGCTCTTTAAAAAAAAAAAACTTCTGCACCATCACAATGTATTCTTGTGCCGCTCACTGTGGGATGCTGAGCAGCAGCTCCATTTTTCACAAGGCTGAAAATGAAAACGGCATTGTTGGTGTGCAGTGGTGAGGCTGGATCAATTTTCCTTAGGGTCAAAAGCAACATCACACATGAAGAGGCTGGATCTTAGGAGAAGCATTTACAGCCTCAGAAAGTGAGAAATACAAGGAATATTTCCTCTGCACTCAGCCTAACTGCATAGGCCTCATAGCCTCCCCACAGCAAGGATGAAGTAAAGACACCTGGAATGGAATATTACACACCCTTGACACAGCTACCCTGGCATGGATTCATGGGGAGCAGGGTGTCTCTTCTCTTGGCATCTCCAGTCCTCAACTGCCAGATGCTCGTGTGGGACAGGAAACGAAAGAGCCCGATGAAAGGGGTGTGTTAAGGGAGAGTAATGACAATGTTTCTTTCACTGTAATAATTTTCTTATCATTTGTTCACCATAATTTGAGATCACAGCTTGTACTCTGTCCTATTTTTCTGCACCATATCACAAAGCTATGTCATATTTACATTAAAAGTACACATTTTTTTTGTTTATAAAGAAAGACACCAAGGCCAGGGAAGCAGAAGAGGCAGACGCACAGCTCCGTCTCCCTCTTGGCTCGATCCCAACAAGCAAAGGAGAACCAGCAGGAAGTGCAAGGTCCGGAGGGCCAGAGAGGGAAGGGCGGCCAGGGAAGGTAAGATGCTTCAGCACAAACCTCGTAGGAGAATCTCTCTCCTTCCTTCTTCTGTTCATGGGATTGCAAGCCAAAGACGTTGGACAGAGACAGGACACATTACGGACACAACACACATGACACGTTTGACACAGCTTTCTTGATGTGGAAACTAAACTGCGATATAGCAAAACACTAGTGCCACAAAGCGTATTTCAGAACAAACATCAAAACTGGCACTGTAAAATACAATAAAAAATCTGTAATGTGCAGATCATTAGCAGACACACATACTCAATTGTGCACACACAGGTGTGTATACACATGGACAGAAGGCCTCTCCGGCCTCTGCTCTCACTTCTGCTCACTGAAGTACTCTGCGGGAGATGAGAATTCTCTCAACTGCCAATGAGACTTTCAGTACCTCAGCACTTCCTGTTCCTCGATAAACCACATAAACCTGGCTGAGACAGCTGCTAATGATCTCTAAGTAGGTTTCAGGCAAATACAGGGGTCAAACCAGACTTACCTCTTTGCCTCCCATGGACTCGAACATTTTTTCCAGCTGGACGCGCAACTGTTGAATGTTATTCATCAAGATGCAAGGCTTTAAATGAAGAAAATAAGAGGGCAGTGAACATCCCTTATGTATGAAGTTACTGAGAAAGGATAATGTTAACTTACAGGGGGTAACAGGCACCTATCACTGATGTCCGGCTGTGCTTGACAAATATAATAATTCTGCCAAGAGTAGCAAGTAAAACGCAATCTCGCTGAAACTGAGTGATACCCTCACACAGTAAAATACCAGAGGCCGGCACCTAGGTGTCTTTATCCACAGCATTGTGGCATTTCATGCTTAGAATCAACCATGTGTTGTTTTTAAGATTTTATTTTCAGAAAAACAGATTAGTTTAAAATCTTTTGTAATTTCACTGTTTTAAAACCAAAACAGAACCTGCACTTTACATGCAAGAGAATGCTTGACGTTTGACAAGAGCACCCTCGGTGGACTGTCCCGCTGCCCACGTGGCCCACCCACTGGCATCCGAGTCCCTGTGTGACTGGCTCTGGGCGTCCCTTCTCATTTTTCTCTTTGCCTGTTTGAATCACATCTATCATTTGGGCCAGGCTTTCTTTCCTAGATTTCTTTTTTATCACTCACTTGGCGTTTGTTTTTAATCACCATATTTGAGCTACTGCAGCTGTTCCCGGAGTTACCAGCTCATTGCAGATATAACACACTTGCTGCGGGGTCTGTCCCGCCTCACGGACGACCAGCACACTTCACGCGCAATAGATGCTTCAAAGACATTTTTCACCTTGTTTCCAAAGGGGCAGAAATGTGACAGTGACAAAGACGTGGAACTGTGCGGCAGGGCCAGATGTGCTCTCAGGATAGTAGAGATTAATTTCTCAGTAGGAAATAGAACTTGCAATCGTTATAAAACCACTTAATTGCATATTGATTCTAAAGAGCCACGGCTTGGAGAGGGAGGTGAGGGGCAGAAGGGAAGGCGGGTACAACTTCTAGTTGCTGGGAACCGGGGCCAGGTAAGGCCACCCACAGTATGTCAGAGGGGGGCGGCTCTCACCTGTGGGATTTTATTAGGGCTCCAACCACATTACTGACCTTCGAAGAACTTCCTACTTGACTCTTAAAGTGACCACATCTTAACTCTGACTTACGAAGATAATTTAAAATGTCCATTCTGTTCCCTTTGTCTGTCCACCTTACCTATTCTCAGTCACTGAGGTTCACTCGGGGATTCTAATCCCACCATCGTGAGAGCTCCTTGGTCCAGGCTCCCGCCTTTCCCTAGCAGGATTGGGCATTTTCAGACCTCCGGGGGATTTGGCATCCTGACCGCAAGGCCCCAAACCAAGCCAGCAGACTGCTCTTCCACCAGAGGTTTATATTCCGTACACGCAGTTTTCCTTCTCCCTTTTGGGAGGGGATGATTTGGCTTGCTGTGGAGATTTCTACAGGAAGGAACCCAGCGTCCAGGAGGACGGAGAGCATAGTGAGAAGCTGCACTCCGGGGGGAGGCTTTCCTCTCTTGCTCCTGAGGGCGAAGTCAGCTTAGCTCTGCTGTGCTTACTGGATGTTAGCATTCAAGGCCACCTGCCTTGGCACATATAAAGGGGCTCGAGGACCAGCTTCATAAATAAAGGCCAAGCCACAGGCTGCTGAGGTCTTAAGGAAACCATTTCCAGTGAACAAGATCTGCCAGGCGCCATGGGCACAGGTGCAGGGCTCACTGGGCGTGGCCAGCTCCTGGGCAGCCACGGAGAGAAGAGGTGCAGGCAGGTGGAGAGGGGGAATGCACACATCAAGTGCTCCCCTCTGCTGGCTTTCCTGACCTTGAAATGTGCAAAGTTCACTTCTATTAAACTAATTTCTCAAATCACCAATGACAACTAGATTACACAAATCTACCTTAAATCTAATCATGAGATAGCTTTGCTTTAAACAAGCCAGAGTAAATGAAATAGAAAAAAGGAATTCAGAGTCAAGGGAACATTAACCTAATTCACAGGCATCGCTGCTGAAGGGGTTTGGTGAGACGCCACAACCTCGGTCTGATGTCAAGTTGAATCCTTTCACGTGTACATTTTGACCTGGCTCATCATATCTTAAAACATTTTATTTGACCTTGGTCTGGGACAGCTAGGGACCAGAAATACAAGGAAGTTAGTGCTGTTTAAACCAGAGTCATTTTTTCAGAGAGGAAGTGTTTTGAAGGTTGAAAAACTTTGAAAAGATATTCAAAATAAAGTAATTCTGAATTAGATAATTATGACTTGATATTTTTTGGAATGTGAGGATAAAATGGATGAAAACATTTTGTTCTATTTCCAACTTAAAATGCCACAGTGGAAAATTATTCTGACATAGACACTTTGTTGAACTACAGCCTTTAATTCTGATCCTTGACAAATCAAATGTTATGGGCTTATGTTAAACAGTGTTTAACTATAAAAGTTTCTAGCCCAGTTTGCAGATGAGCTATCCATATCACCATACACATACTATGAAATGTACAATAAATTCCAATGGGGTTGATACAAATGAAATGGTAATGACAGCTCTGCACCCGTGTAAAGGTACAAATCGTCTTTTCAGAGTGCTTCAACAGACAGCATGCACATAGCAGTGAGCTGACATTCCTGCCTAAAAGTTCAGATCATCCTCGGTGGTCAAGCAGTAAAGTGCGGGGCTGGTCAAGATACCAATTATTAGAGATGAAAAGCCAAAGAAATGCTCTGCGTTCTACATCAGTGAAGGGTTTTTTAACTTTATATATAAAATTGATTTTGAAAGTATGAAACATATAGGACAATACATGTAATATAATAAATTCTGGTGTATAATTTTCATCTCAGGGTTTTAATGTAAAATGTAGTGCAGAATGTTAACCACAAGGTAGAAGTTGCCAGAGGCTTTGAAAGTTAATTTTCCTTTCTGAGCATCAGATCAACGTTAGTATCTCAAACCACCTTTCAGCATGTTCATTTTGCTGTCCTAATACAAAGAGAATCTTTTCTGACTCTGTGAGGCATTGTTTTGGCTTTAATGTAACACTTTAGACATGTGTCAGCCTTTATCTCCCAATTAAAAATATATGCTTCCAAGCCCCCCCGCGCCTTGCTCCCAGGCAGCGAGTTCTCCGGGAGCGGCAGGGCTCCTGGGTCCGAGTGTGGGCCGGACTCATACCACCACGATTGCCAGCCGAAAAGCGCGCACAGAGCCAGGTAGGCCCCACCCAATCCCGGAGGTCAGGACGCGAGAACAAAGACCCCGCGGACATTGCAGACTGAG